TCTTTCTCTAGCTCCATATCTCTATCTATATAAACTCTGATGCACACACCATCTCTTTCATTATTTTCATCAATTCATAGTTCAAACGTTTGATTTCTTGTATCTTACTCAACAATATTATTCGTTCTGTTTTGATATCTCTATCATCAAAATGAGTAACTACAATCAGTCTCAAGGTTTGTTTCTTGTTTCTTTTTCAGTTTTCCCTTTATGGGATTTGTTTTAATATGTTGTTTTGAAGTATTATAATATCCCCCAGCAGGCACTGCATATCCAGATGAAGGGAAACCAGAGACAATCATGGCTCCACCACCGGCTGGTTATCCCGTGAAAGATGAACATGATCAGGACCCCCGCCCTATGGCCGTGGAAAGTCAGTCTCGGGGTGATGGCTTCTGGAAGGGATGGTGAGTCATCTTTCTCTCTATTTCCTCTTCATGTGTCTAAAATCAATTAGCCATAATTCTCACTTTTTTTTATGCAGTTGTGCTGCCTTGTGCTGCTGCTGTGCGTTGGATGCTTGTTTCTAAGGAGTTGGATGCTTGTGTCTAAAATCATAATTAAAGTGTTTTGAGTTTCATGTGTATATTATTTGTATCTGGATTGATTTTGACATTATTTATGTATTATTATGTATGTAAAAATATTACTGGTATTGTTCCTTTCATTTCTTAGTGTTGATATTCATTACATAAAGAAGAGTTGCTCCATAATGAAGTCTCTATCTAATGTGTATGTGTTATAGATGCAACAATTACTAAAACCCATATCATGAAAAATTTAATAGATCAAAATAAACAAAGAGATGTGCTAGAGATACATAATGGGCTCCATAATGGTGCCCAACATCTCCTCCAATGATGGGGCATCATGTATCCATTATGGACACCATTATGGTGTCCATTATGTACGAGGAGAATAACCCATAAAGAAGAGAAAATGCCCAAATTTTTTCATCAGAGTATTGAGATTCCAGTATTGCATATAGAAGCAGGTCAGAGTAGTTGACAATAAAAAAAATGAAGCAATGGCTATGAGCCACATGCTTGTAATTATCTCCTCACCAAATATAAAAATATGACAAATATCTGAAAGTTTGACGAGACACTTTATGCTATTATTTTCTTGTCATCAACCATAAAAAATATCAGTAATATTCACACTAAAATAAGGCTAGGACAATTTTTTATCTTTCTAATATGCCAAAACAATGGTCATTGGATAAATCCACCCACCCACCATTCGATTAAACAACATAAACAATGCTAACACCTAACTGTTATGTAATAAGGATAAAGCTGTTTGTACATCAGGTTTACGTACACATGTCTCACATGAATAGTGTGTGCGAATATTTTATTGTGTGTGAGACCCCCTCCATGTGAGGGAAGTGTAAAAGATTGTGTGAATGATTATATACATGTAGCATGATTGATGTAATAATCCCATTAGCGTCCTTCAATTTAGTTGTGTTTTATCTTCTTCTCGCTAAATACGGTGGTGATCATGTTCCAAAGCCTTACTAACCCCTCTACCACCACCACCAGTGATGATTCTTCCTCGTGCTTGTCGATTATATCCATTAAATGCTATTTCGATATAGCTTTTGCCGCCAAAAATATCAAGCACGGCCAATCTCACCTTTTCTTGGCCAACGACTTTTCAATCTCCGAGAATAAGAGGAAGAACACCTCCAGACTACATCGACCAAGACGATTCCACTGGGCTCCACGTCCCTGGCCTCCAACAATGCACCAGGCTCATCAACGCCCTCCCAATCTTAAACTCCATCACCCCTTTAATCAAATTATCGCATTCAATAGTCCCTCCATGGGGCTGATCACGTTCACATCATTGACCTCAACATCGTGCAGACATCCTTGCATGAAATTGCGTAAAATCAAGTTCATTCAAATCACCTGCCTTAGACCCTCCATGGAGCTAAACAGGCCAGCGGTTACAAAAAGGTTGCAGGTCAAATAATTGAGAGGAGCTTCCTCACAATTTTTGGACAGACCATGTTCATACTTTAAATCTTGCTTTGAAGAACATTCGCGCACCGAAGGATGTTGACAACCACCAAATTACATAGGAGAAATGTAATCGGATAACTGGTATTCACGATGATGAAATGCTCATAAAATTTTCATCATGAATCACTCTATGATATTGGCAATATTTGATAAATATGTGCAATTGAATTTGTTTTATGTAGTAAAGACGGGATTTGCTTCAACAATTCTTATGCTCAAACAAAAGATTTAAACTTATCAAGGGTGTCCTCTGAACTATGATGCAAGAAGCATACACTGTTTTGTTAGTAATAATAATAAAAAAATTATCCACGTGCCCCCAACGTGTTGTATCCTACTTTTTCAAAAAATCACATGTCCCAATGTCCCCATCATGTCGTATCGTGTCCATGTCGCATATCCGTATAGGTCCAAGTTTAGATAGAATACAAGTTAAAATAGATCTCATATTCTAACTATTTACAAAAAAGCATTAACACTCTTAGAGCTTGTTTGAACCCATTTTTAGAGAAAAATATATTCTTGAATAGTAATTTTTTGAAAAATGTGTGGTTAAATATTAAAGAAAAGTTTTTGATTTACTTGTAAAATTATTTTATTGGTAAATGTGTGGATGAAAAAAAGTTTTGAAAAAAATGAATTCTTGGAAAAATTGGGACCAAACATTAGCTTATTTTAGTACCATCAATTTTTGAAGTTGGCATCACATCTATTTTACTATAAATGCTAGGTGGCCAGATTTCACCACAACGTTAAATCAAGATAAGTTGCCACTGTTTCTTCATGACAACTTTTCATCAGATATCTCTATCAAAACATGTGCACAAGGTGCACAGATACGTTGGTAGACATAAATGATACCTGCTGTCTATGAGAAATTTCAAGTGCTTCAGGCAAGCTAACTCCAAGGGTCACCAACAGTGTTATAAACTCAAACCTCTCTGCTCTAGATTGCTCGTATTCATTAATGTACAAAGATAAACTCGAGAAAGGAAAAATCAATAAGATTTCAAAAGATGGTGAATAACTTTCAGGAAATCATGCGCAAGACAAATGCTCAAGGTATTCAGGTTTCTGGAAAGGAGAGAAAAGGTCTTACAAGAATCTAGGAGTATAACAAATCTCTGTATACAATTCAGATATCTTGTAAAATATCAACCAATTACCAATAATGAGAGATACTTCAAACCTTGTAACTATTATGAAAATGTAACTAAGATTTCTTTCTTCATCTTTTCTACATTCCTCAACTGCTTTCAATCCTCAAAATGTAATATCAGACAGCCCAATTGGCTTCTTTGCCCTGTAAGAAAAGAAAACTCAAACCAAGAGAGTGAAACAGCTCCCTTGCATAAAAAAGTAATTCCAGGACTACTTCCGGGTCCGTTTTCAGTCTCAAAGCCGCTGAAACTTCACAGTGTTTCACATACCAATGAAATCAGGAATCAGCTCATTACATGGCCAAACCGCTTTACTATATGACGTCTTCTAAGCCTTTAGTGCTAGTATATCTAAGGTGACACATGTATGTTTTAAGAGTGTACAAGTATGTGTATGTAGATGTATTGTATGTGTAAACACACGTGTGAGTATATAAATGTATGTACAAATTATACATGTCTACAAATATGCAAGAGTATGAATGTGTGGTTAGAGTTTTGAAGAGATGATCTTAAACATCAAAGTCACAACAAACACATGAAATGCTTTACTGAATACGAAAATTCTTCGAGAGATACTAGATGTTAAAGATCTTGAAATTACTATTTAAAAAGGCTAAACTAGTATCATGGCATTTTACCTCGTAACACGAGAAGTAATCTTCGACGACTTGTAAGGCACATGGGCCAACATAAATCAATTAAACAATTCAGAACTATTCACACAAAAAAAAAAGCACAATTATACACATAATAAACCAAACATTATCTAAACAATTCATAACAAAACATTTATAAAAAAAACTAAAAATCTAATTGCAACTTGAATGTTAAAATTAGAACTAAAGGTCTAAAACTAATGAAATAACTAACTACTAATTCAAGAATTTTGCTTATGTGAATTAAATGAAACTAAATCGAGAGAAAAGAAACTTATAGGCAACAACAACAAAAATATAAAAGACCGAGAGAAAAGAAAAGAAACTCAATAGAAAAGATTAAAAGTCAAGTTTGGTGGGTCTGTTGCCGCTTGTCTGCCGCAGAAAAGTTCCAACTTCACCTGCAGAAAAAAATTCAGATCCAAGTGGTATCAGAGCATTTAACCTGGGTAAATAGCAAAATAAAAATGGTAGACAAGACAAGGAAGAATGACTTGGTGCCATAGAGGGAAGGATGGATGAATTTGCAACAAAATCCAGAGGGCATTAGGAGAGAGGATATCTCCAGAAATTAAATGGGTTGCAATGCACTTTTCCACCAATGCACACTGAGATGTCACTGGAGAGGGAAGGAGTCGCAATGAAGCATTGTGATTTGAGCTACGACCCAGGCGATTGGACATACCGGCGTTCAACAATGAAGATCCTAATGTCTGAATTTTTCAGGTTGAGGAGATATTCTCCATGAATATTATGAGGGAAGATAAATTAGAAGATGAGGATGAGCCCAGTGGTAAGGAGATGGAGGAACTCTTGCTTAATTCCATGGTGGGGATGACAAATCTGCAAACACTCAGGGACATATTGCTCTTAAGGATATGACGGTCCTCGTTGATTGCAGAAGCATAATATGGTGGAAATGGTCCAGCAAGTTGAGAACCGAATCATTACTCACGGGCCTTTGTACACTAGAGCTGGTCAGGGAAAAATGCCAGCCCTATATACAAAGATTCGACCCCTCCAAAACCACCTGATTTGCAAAAGTGCTTCACCTTGAGGAAAATGTGGATTTGGGGACGGAATAGTGATAAACCCAATATCCATTTGGACATATGCAATGCTAGGAAAGTGGAGGGAAGAAGCAAGCAATGAAAGTGAGGGGAAGCAACGAGCAACGAAAGTGGGCGGAATCAGCAAGGAAAGAGGAGACAAGCAGCAAGCAAGGAAAGAGAACGGAAGCAGGAGAGAAGCAACAAGCAAGGAAAGAGGAGGGAAGCGACAAGGAAAAAGCGCGAAAGAAGCATCAAGAAAAGAGAAGGGACATTTCAGGAAAATGGATTACACACCAAGTAAATAAAGGGTAGGGAGTCTGTGGATGCATTGAGAAAAAAAAATAAGAGTGAGTCATGACGAGAGAGTAGGCCTTTCAAAAGCCTACATTTCCATCTTTATTGCTCTTTGTAAAGCCCATTTGATAGGATCTCACAAGTTGGCTCCTTTCATGTAGGCCTCGGGCACTTGATGAAGTAGTGTAGAAGAAGAGGATGTATGTAGTTGTTAGACAAGTATGGGAAAAGCCCTAGTTAAGTTGACGTTATGCATAAGATGATTCACCTGCCTATGGGTTACTGATATAGATTTTGGGAAAGCCATACCTCAAAAGCTAGCTGTTGAAATTGGAGACCTCAAGTCTATATAAACCACACATCGAAAGCCTATACTTTCGATGTGGGATTCAAGTCTCATATCTTGCAATGAAAATCATAACAATCCACCATGCTTCGCAATCTCGGTGCTCACGTCAGACTATCTTTGCACTAGCCCATAACTAGTCTTGGATGAACACTACTATGCCGCATCACCATCCACACCGCTTGATTGCAACCGGGAGACATGGTGCCTACTTTGATACTGATGATATAGATTTTGGAAGGGCCATACCTCAAAAGCTAGTTGTTGAAGTTGGAGAGTTCGAGTCTATAAACTACACATCGAAAGCCCATACTTTCGATGTGAGGATTCAAGTCATATATCTTGCAATAGGAATCATAACAGTTACAATCAAGATAGATAAGTAACAAGACATCATATAAGCCATCAATTTTCACATGCTACTCTTTAATGTGCATATACTCTAATGCATTAGTAGTAGTCCTGTGTCTAAATTAAATTTTTCGCGAAGTAGCGAAAAAGATGTCTTTAAGGGTAGATTACAAGATAAAAGGTCAAGAGACTGTGAACGTCTGCACTCTATAAATGTATGAGATATAGGGATCAAAGGAAATGAAAGAGAAAAATAAAAGGAAGGTAATCAAGGCATAATCTTGGAGCATCTTCGTATCCTTCTTTCAAGCCCAAGCCGAGAAAGATTGAAATTCAAATTCTTCGTGAATTTAAAAAATCTAATACAGCCAAGCCTTCATCAATACTTACAGTTGTTTCCAAATGAGTTGTATAATCATGTGCCTTACTACAAATTTAAATTTTAGTGCCATCAATGACCATTGAAGGCAATTAATAATTTACCCGTTATGTTACCGTTGGGAAACTTTTCAAACTATTGACCATAAACTAGCCGTTATAGATTACATTATACACTTTAAGACCCTAATTTCTAGAGCAGAATGCAATTACTAGTTATTTCCTATAAATAGTGATTAGTGTTTCATAGGTAAACCGAACAGTCTCTATACAACAACTTTTACCTTATTTCACAATCAAACAACGTAAACAATGAGAACCATAAGTCTAGGCTATGAACCCAAACCTCACCGATATCATTACTTTTGCAGCTCTATTTTAGTGCTACATACCATAGCTTGGACAACACCAGTGGAAGACGCATGGAAGCTAAATTTCGCTGCCTATGCCCCTAATCAGCATAGGCATGCAGGAGCAGGTTATGTCCTTCGCGAGCATCATGGCATCTTCAAAGCCGCACGTGCAGAGCCATTGCCAAATGATTTCAGCCACATCGAAGCGAAACTTGTAGCTCTTGATTTGGGTCTACAAGAAGCCATAGTACAAGGCATTGATTACCTTGAGATTGAGGGACATTCCCCATATGCAATGGAGATGGTTGTTGATGACGAGGCAACACTGACGCCCTCGATAAGATCCATTGTCCATAAATGCCGTACACTTTTACAACAATTTAAACTGGTGAAATTTCACCCTGTGGCGGCATATGCCAACAGGGCTGCCACAAAAGTAGCAGAAATGGCAACTAAAGAAGCAGAGACACAACGCTGGACTATGGAACCTCCCGACGAAATAGCTAAAATTCTGGTTGAGGACATGACTGGGTTTTGGGAAAGTTTATATTATTAAGGCATTTTTCTATCATCAAAATAATGTGTTCCTCCTGGGCAGAAAGGTAGAGTTGCCAGAAAATGAATAAATGAGGGATGCAAGTTTTCTATATTAATAAGATATCTTTTTATCCTAAGATACACCTAACCTACACCCCATTAATTACTGAATAATATCAGAAATTGAAGTTAATTCCCATTAACCTCCTTCATTTTGTCAGCAATAAAAAGCATAACAAATTATTCCAGAAATGAATAATAATTTAATCAAATTTCAGTCCAACAATAAACGGAATTATTCCAAGTAAAAATATGCAAGTCAAGTAAAAATCTGGTCAGAAAAAATAAATAAAGCACACATCAATTCCAAAGATTGGCCAAATAATTTCTATTTATTTATTCTTTAGGGAATGTTGAAGAGGAAAATGATTATATAAATTACCCTTTTCAGTATTTCAGTGAAAACCATTTTTCCTTTAAGTGGTGAATGTTTCGATTCCAGATTCCACACAAAGCGATCCATGAGAGGCAATTGTGGAGAAAAGAAAATGCCTCTTTTACCAGTCAAATTAGAATGGGAAAAACAATTATCGTCACACATTTCCTGTAGAATGGGAATAGTCAAATTTTTTTCTGTTTTTTCAGTCCCTCCAAGAGACCTAAAGTTATGAAGTCAAAATAGAAGAAAACATTACTACCGTTCTATTTATTTCATCAATGGGTATTGTACAAAACTAAAAAGAAAAGGTTAATGTAGAAAATCAATGTTATAAAGTCAAAATAGAAGGGTCGTGTTGTTTTATTTTTAACGAGTCTTGTACACATAGTAATTAAACTCGAATTGGAATGGACAAACCCGGCAAACCAGACTCTCATCCAATCGCTAACAGTTGAACTGGTAAATATTCAGATGAACCGGCCTTGGTCCACTTGAGTTAGTATATTCCAATTATTAATTGTTGAACCGGTATACATCTGAATAAACTGACCGACTTTGTAATAACCCAGCGAACCAGGGCGGTTGAGCTGCAGTTTTTTTTTTTTTAACAATTTTCAAAACTCAAGCAGGAGGGATTTGAACCCCATGTTAATACAAGAGAAGACCACTAGGCTATTATACTATATTGTTCAAATTTGGAACTTTATTATATAACCATATTTTCCTCATTTTATTGAGTTCTCATAGATTAGCACGAGTGTGCCAAAGTCAATGACCGTGACTCGGGGTAGATAATGGATATTTCAGGTTTGGAATACTCCACCTAATAGGTTAACCTTTGGATTGAACCCTAACCTATAGTTGTAAAGTAGAAGCTTGGAAGGTACAATGATATATTCTGAAATTTCCTCTTGCTTCTATGACTTATTTAGGACTTGAAATCAATTTGATCAAATCTGCTGAATTCTGTTATTTGATAAAAATCTCATACATGTCCAGCATGTTAATTGCTGGAAACCTGCCTCTGTTGCTAGAAAGTACTTTCTGCAAATTCAGTCTAACTTATCTACAATTATTTTCTAAATCTCACCAACTTCAGATTTTATTCATTGGTTGCGGATATGACATTTGTCTTGCTTAACTTGGTGTGTTACCATTTGGAACATGCCCAAAGTTTGGCCCTGTAGTGTTAACTGAATCCTCCCAAAAGTATATTTTAATTGGTCCTTTGTCTCTATTTATATTTGAGGTTGGAAACTATTGGCCTGCTTGGGAGTTTTTTTTTTTTTTTTGACCGGTTTTGGGTGGCACCATCTATGAGGGATTGAGAAAATTAGTGCTTATTAGTTTTTTTGGGCACCGGTTATGGATGGTTTAAAAACCACCCCAAAATTGGTGTAGTGTATTTTTTATGGTTTCTCTCAACCCATCAAATCGGTCCCTTGTTTCTCAATTACGTTTTGTGGAATGGTCCCAATACTCATTCCTCATCGTATGGATCGAATTCTACGAGGAAAGTAACAGTGGATTATTAATCCAAATCTGAAACTCAGTTCAAAGTTCAATTACATTAGCCTATCTATTGATGAATGCACCTTGGAGTCTAGTCTCTAGAGCAAGAGTAGAATATTCAATAGCAGGAGCGCAGTCATAAACCCAAAAAGCTCCATCAAATCCAGAAGTTCAGCATTCCATCTAAATTCAAGATCCTATCAACTAATTTCTTAAAAAGAAAAAAGAAACCCTTATGCTAATACCATTATCCACAATCTGAAAGAAATTGCAGGCAAGATTCATCCAAAAACATTGACGCTTGGAACTGAGAAAGCAAATCCAATTATTTAAAACGTTAATTGTGGGTTGAATGGGAGGAAAATGAGTACCTGAATGAAAACCCTCTTTTCTTAGAATTGAGAGACGAGAAGCATATGAAGAAGGAAAACCGGAACAGGAAAACTCATTCAAACGATGCAGCACAGGGCTTGACTAATAAATAATTAGTAGCAGCCATTTTCCAATACAGCTTCAGTTTCAATTCCTCGCCCAATTGCTTTCTGCAACAGAATGCCAGAATGGATTTAGAATAAAAATTGGGAAAAAAATTGTTACCAATAAGGCAGCACTGAGCATTCCCACTCAAAGATCGTACACTTGTAATTGAATAAAACAAGGGTGCTACAAGTGCATTTTGACAATTTCTTCATCCAATAAACATCTATCAAGACACGCGTCAACCATCACGTCAACAAAGAAGGTAGAAGGAGCATAATTTTTGAACAAAATTACTGGGCTTTTCTATTTCTTTGTCAAGTAATTGAATCAATTCAAATAAAATTGAATAATTTAAAAAATAGGATATTAAAAATCGTAGCTTATTAAATGAAATTATTATAAAGTAAAAATAAAGAATCAGCTCCATTATCCAAATTTGAAGAGTCAAACTTACTTTCTATTTTAAAATGTTATAACATAGACTCTTTTAGAACGTATTTTTAAGTAACAACTCTCTAAAATAAATAATGTTTTGTATTTAAAAAATTTTCTTCAAGATGTTTTTGCCCATACAATCCTACTCGAAAAATTTTGTCTACGATCCTTAATTTTTTATTTTGTTTTATAACATTGGATATTCGGGGCGCGCACCTCGATTAATTCTACGGAGCTCTGAAGTTTACGGTCTGGTACTCACCTCAGTGGCCCTTAGAGGACTCGAACTAAGATCCTTAATTTTTTAAGAAAGTGAAAACGAGTCTCACGACTATCCCAAACACAGGTGGTAAAGTATGCGGTCGAAGGACATCTGGTTCATAATTTGAACTACAGTGAACCATGTTTAAGAAGGATAAAATACTCTCTCCACCACCCTCTGTTCTTGTTTGTGAGGAATGATAAGAAATTATCGAATAATATATATTAAGAAAAGGAAGTTAAAATTATATTCACTTTTTTTATTATGTGCCGAACGTGTTGTAATTATCCATGTCCATAAAAATAAACAAGCATGGGTGAAAGACACCATTAAAACACACTACAACCACAATAGTCATGGACGGATCTACAGTGGGACACCTGCCACCACACTAAATTTTAAATCCAAAATTTTTCATAAGTTTTTTCAAAAAATTCTTTAATAGTTTTCAATTTTGTCTCCACAATTAAAATTTTGTAAAATTTGCCTGACTCCAAAATTTTGGCTCACCCCCTGATAATAGTCATATCTTACTGCCATCATTTACCGCAGTGAAAGTCTCGTGCACGACTTTGAATGAGANATATATAAAATTATTAAGCAATAAGCTCTCTGAGAAACAATCAAGAATAAGATTCTTTAACACGATAATATGCTTTATCATTACAAATATTGAAGGGCGAGAAATTATAAATAATAGTTGAAATCTACTCTTTCCTTGTGAACCGTTCACGACTACATAAACTATCCAAGACTACAAGGACGTGTTTAATAGAACACATCCAAAAAATACTGCAGCTAAGGGACAACTAATCCTTTCTCTACAACATTTTCTCCTGTAAGAGCTCTCAACAATTTGATTTTAGAGTGCAGCAGCAATGAGCTAGAACGGCCCTCTCAAGGTAATCCATGGTTAGCCAGAGCACAGCACCTTTTAAGAAAGCTTGAGACTGCATATAGTTCTCAAATCTGATTCGAACATCACATTGTAGCCTTTGCCATTTCCCAAATTAAGCGAATAAAATTCGACCTCTTATTATGGGAATAATCATATTTAGGATACGATATTCTCACAACCTTGAAATATCGTAAAACCTTCGTTGTTTGAGCTACAAACTATTCTACAACCCCTAAGACGAGATGTGACGGAAAAACACTCGATAATGCTGGATTTCGACTCTTTATTAACATTGCTTTTCCTGCCATGATTATTTAGTTTGTATAAAGTTACGGGTCAAATGAAAAACTAGATCCGCATATATATTTGAAAAATGTTGCACCTTGGCAAGAATTGTCATCGATTCGTCGAACACCGGAATAGTGCATGTCTATATGCAACACTATAATCATATGCTGAAGGAATTTAAAACGAAATAATGGATTTTATTTCCTCAGGCACATTACATAGGCTTAGCCTACACTCCACTGAAAACACATGTACGAACCGGAGTTTTTGCATATCCAAATAACCGATACGAAATGTAACTGAAGAAAAAACATCAAACATACTATAAATTTTGACATTTTTGTTATAGAGAAAAAGAGAGCAATATTAATATTATGAAAACAAGAAATGGGGATGAACAATACATTTGTATCTCAAGCCCATTTGGCCAAGAGAGACATACATCCAGCGCCTAGAAGAAGAGAAACATTTGCCCCTAACCGAAGCTTTCCATTGCTTTGCATTTTTGGACTCATAAAGTCGGCTGATAGAAGATCTACGAGTGCCATGTAGATCAAGATCCCAGCTGATGCTGAATTAAAAATTCCCTCGACAATTAGAGCAGTGGGACTGGTCTCACTGTATATGTTGCTTATTCCAATACCTATCACAATGCCAATTGGGGTTGTGAGAGAGAAGAAGATGGCCATAATTGCAACTGTCCTTGACTTAAACTGAGCCTGCAAAGAAAAAAGCATATTAATTCAAGAATTGTCATAATATTGTCGCGGTGGAGACAATCAGAGAGCAATGAGATGCAAAAGCAACAAAGTCGCTACATGTACAATTTAATTTGACAATTCACAATTGGTAGCATCTCATTCATCGTTTGACCAATTAAATTCTAAAAAAGATATCGTTTGTTTATATCACATCCCTAACATTCTCCTATGTACCTCCAATGTCAAGCCAACTTCTGATATAAAGACGCGTAACTCGGTAAGGATTGGACGTACAAGTCGACAGAAAGGCGAGAAGATGACAAATATTGAGAGAGTGGTAGAAAGAGCAAAGGAAGAAATGAAATCTGTTACATGTGTATGATTTCTAATCTAAAATTTAACAGCCCGCAGTATCAGAATACTTATATATTCAAAATTGAGAAAAGAATTATAGGTATGATCAATACCTGGGTTATGCATCCTCCTAGTCCAATGCCTTCAAAGAATTGATGGAAGGTTAATGCAGCAATTAGAGGCTTTATTGTTTTAGGACTTTCCGAAGCGCCTAAAGCAATTCCAATAATTACAGAATGGACTACAATTCCCAACTCCAGCACCTACAATCCAATGAAACTTATCATCAAATACTATGTTTATTCAAACACAAAAGACATGTACAAGTGAATCGAGATAAAGAAGTAAATATATACCTGTGAGATTACGCGATGACGGAGAAGTTCTGTTTCACCAGAATAGGTTTCCATTGATATAGATCCATGAGCATGACCATGGGTGGCGTGAGTATGAACAGGGATTACTCCTTCTTTATCGTCATTAGCTATACGCGCCTTGCCATCTGATTCCTTCCTGTAATAGGCTGTTGCATATGAGTCCACCATAAGAGTCCCAATGGCTGAAACCATTGCAACAAAGCCCGTGAACGGAAAATCTCCCCACGGGTGCTCGCTAATGCACGGAGATGTCAAATTTTCAAAAGCATCAGGGAGCACATGTATGAAACCTGTCGACAAAATTACTCCCGCTGCAAATGCCTTTGTGATGAAGAAAAAGTTCCTCTCTGGACTCAAAGCTGGTATTGTCTTGCTTATTACAGGAAGACAAACCCCAATTGCACTCGCAACGAGAATTGAAGCAATAGCAGATAACTTATATTTGCGTGCTAAGCTTTTGTTCCGATCTTCATCTTCGATTTCACATGTACATTCCCCTAAAACAACCGTCGGAAGCAATAGGAGAAAAGCCATGAAAACCATCTTGCAAATCCATCCACGTGAACACGAGAATCGGAAATTCATACTACTGATTGTTGGGGGAAATCGATGAAATTGGGAAAGAGTCTCCTTTTCGTATTTAACAAGAAATGCACAGAAGTTAAACGGGTTTTTAAAGATGATTTGTATTTGATGTAGCTGTAATTTCTGATTTTGTTTTCAAAATGGTGAAGACACAATGAACTCATTAAGACTGATCCTTCTCCCTCTTCGTATATATCTTCATATATGCATGTATATGTCGACATATACAAGCAAGATGAGACATAAAATGTTTTCCTAGGATGTCGACATCATGAACTGTTTGTTAGAGAGAATATCGGAGCTACAGATTCTTGCTAATTGATTCCTTGAAATAATGTCATCATTTTGATTCGCATAATCTGCTAATGATAAATGTCATTTTTTTTATAATTATCTATTAACTAGGAAATAGGTTGTCAATTTCATTTTAATGAAGTTATTTGATTATGGTGAATTAAATTTTATTTTTAATAATTTTGAATTTTTTTATAGGTTTGCTATTGATTGTCTTGAAAATAAAGGAAAAGATTGATTAGGAGCCTTACTTATTTTCTTGATAAAACAAGGCTGAATTAATTTGGGTGCGTTTAATTGCCAATATTTTTCATGGAAACTGCGTTTTTTATGCTGTTTTCCTGAAAAAAATTTCATACTTTTGGTTACGTGACCATATTTTCTTTGAAAACAAGGGAAATATTTTTTTAAGAGAGATGTGGTTTTTATTTTTCAAGTAATTCATTATCTCTTTCTCTTTCTCTCTCATATATTCACTATCTCTCATCTACCCATCAATAAAAAATGACAATTATAATATTCTTAATGTTGAAAACTGAATCAATCAAACACATTTAATTAATAATTTTCATACAAATAAGTTCTAGGCAATTGAATTGTCTAGAATTTATTTTCTTTTCATGAAAATTCTATGTTTGCAATTAGACATACCCTTGATTAAACAGTGTAAACTACAATTAATGTCATTCATAGATAGTAAGACTCCAAACCATTGGAAGTTTGAACCCCCCGCCCCGTCACCCGTTTACAGCGGGGTAGGGCGGGACGGGGCGGATCATTTCCTCGTTTATTCCTCATTTAAATTTTTTTATAATTTATTTTTATTGTCAATATTCATTATATTTAAACAAATAATTTTACTTGCTATTTTCTATTAGAACTATTGAAAATTTTCATTTAAAGTATTGAATTCTAAAAAAATAATAATAAATAAAATAAAAATTTTAGCGGGCAGGGCCCTCGTTCCCACCATGTTACCCGATTAAGCGGGTTATCCCCGCCCCCTTCGGGGTGGAACCCCACGAGTATCGGCTTTGTCGGGTTTTGTCATCCCTACCCCGAAACAAAATAAAGTTGGAATGCTCTATTCTATCTAATACTCGAGGTTATTTTCATTTGTTTAGGTTGTAGTGAACTCCAGAATTTGTTGAGTGTTCACTTACCACCTAAATTGGTGATAATCACCACGGATCATTATTCAAAAAATTAGGTCATGTTAAATCGCTCTCTTCTTTAATGATTGCCGACATGGGCTCCCCTCCCCCATTACACGCTGAAATGAATTATAAGAGTTGATTAGTAATTGTTTCTATCTGCTTTGAAATTTTTTTTGTCTAATTTTATTCCAATTTTGACTGTAAATATGGGAGGGTTATCTATTTTAATTTACTAAAAGAGAGTTTATAATCGGTTTAGTTTAGCGGTGAAAAGAGTGATCTTGGTAGCGATGTTGCATGCTTATGTATATACAAGAGGAGAGAAAGAGATGAAGACTTCATGGCGCGATCGGCATCGGTTTTGGTGATAGTGGTGGTGGTGGCAGCCACGTACGGGTGTTGGGATGGCTAGCGGTTTTGGGGCTAGGGGCATGTGGTGGGGTCATTGGCATTGAAGAAGACTATTTTTAATGTTCCGTGGTTGGACGAAATTTCCCTTCTAAAATATGGTCTGTCCATGACCGTTTAACAGTCAAATTTTCAGACAGAAAGGGATGATCATCTCAATGAAAGGTCGACTGAAACAAGATGACCATTATTATAACAGCACATGACTTAAACTTAGCCTACAAATTGAAATCGAACGATCAAGTTAAAATCTAGGATCGGATGCATCCAAAGATGTCGTTTTAAAAAGAACGAGGAATGGGAAAAAAAACACATTATTTCAAGCATTGTCATAATATTGTGAAGTAGATTTATGGAGCATAAATTGAAGAAATCAGATAAGGCGAAGATGCTAAAGCAACAACATTTGTCTACGTCAATCCTTTTACTTTAGTACGTAGGATCCATCTTCATATGGATCGGAAAAGATCGATAAACTCAAATACATACTATCCTATGAGCTCATTATGCCTGATATTTCTTTCCATGTGTATCTATATTTCGACATATACAAGGAAAGTCAGATCATAAATATTCTGTAAGAATGTCGACATAACATTCTGTTTGTAGGAAATAAATTAAGTGCTTGTTTGGGAGGGATTTTTGGGGGAAGAATTGATTTTGAATAGTGATATAATGGAAAATGTGTGGTTGAAAAAGAAGAAAAAATTATTGATGCGATGGAAAATATTAATTTATTGAAAAATGTGTTGTTAAAAATGAGAATTGATTTACTGTAAAATTTTGAGAATCCCTCTCAAACAGACCCTAAGAATGGATTTTGATTTCCGTGTTATGTTGGTATTTATAAAATCTTATAAACATGGTAATTATTAACATCTATAAATAGATGTATTAATTTTAATACGATTTTAAAAGTTCATATAAATCTAGATATTCCTACTCGAATTTTAATAGATTCTATAAAATTTCAATGACGTTAACTTCGATTTTAATAAATTCTAGGTATCTCGATAACTTGTGAATATTTAAGAATTTCATCACTCAGAAGGATTATAATAGATGTTAGTAATATTAAATTATTTTTTTAAAAATATAAAATTAAATCTCAAACTCGGACATTTCATTTCTTTTAACTATATGGTTTTCGTTGGAATTTGACTAACCAACAAGGAATCCAGTTTGCTTGTTCCACTTAAATTGATGAAATACATTAAAAATACTTTTTTTTTTATCAATTCTTATTCTCCCATTTGCACTTTTTTGTATGCATGTAGATTAGATATCTAGCGTCAATTCAAGACAATTTGGAATATTATTTCATTGTTATATTGAAATTTTTCGAGTTAAAAAAACAAAAGATTTCATTGAAATTTCTTATTCCTTTGCCAATTTCTCTTTTCTTTTTTACCCGTCTTTCGTGTCCCCGCTGTGTATTCATAAAAACTTATGAAATAATGGAGAATTAATTTTATTTTTAATAAATTTGTTATAATCTAATAGTTTAAACTCCGAATAAATTGTTTTTATTTTATAATTTTTCAAGTTTAAAATAGGATCCTTAATTGATTAACTTGTGGAATAGAGGAAAAGATTAATCAGGAGCGGCCTCATCAATAATGTTAATTAATAACAAAATATGGGTGTGTTGCTACTTTTTCATTGTCTCCCAAATAAAATCTTATCAGTTCAAAAAAATATTTTAATCCAAAACAATTAAAAAAAAGGTAAAACCATCAAATCAAAAAAATGTTCGCCCTTCATTATCAAAAATTTAAAAACATTTTAATATCTTTTTGACAAAATATTTGGAGATCAAGTTTTTGATTAAAAAATAATTAGCAAAATTTGATTAAAAAAAAAAATTGATAAAAATCGTGAATCTTTAAAATATATGATTAAAATTAAAGTTTTACCAATTGAAAAATTGACAAAATTTTGTCATACAATTAAAGTTTTACCAATTGAAAAATTGACAAAATTTTAACAAAATTTTGTCAAACAAGCACTAAATCTATCGAATATACACCTTTCAATTTTTTGGCATTTTCACCATTTATTTCCACATTTCCTTGCGCAAAATGTCATTTTCACATATTTGTTTATGTCCAATGTTCCTTGTGTACATCCTCACTAAGATTGATGTCCCTTGAGATTTGATGATTCCTACCTTTCACATGCACAAATACACGTAGATAGGCAACACAATAGAAACAAAAATCAATTCAACTACAATAACATACCAAACACAGTAGAAAGTAGCAAGTTTGTTAAATCCAAGCACACTGCAACAAGATCAATTACCTCGGCCATTGTACTATATTTTACATAAGCCAAGTATAAAATATGTTACCTGTGCGGTGATTCTACCAACAGTATCGTTTGCAGAGCACAATCATAACTTTTCGTCACTATCATAGTATTCTTCATCATCGTAATATTCTTCCTCTTCCCATTCCTCTTCCTCATCGTCATAATAGTACTCATCATCATCATCAATCTTATGGCCATTTAACAACAACCCGCTCCCCTGTTGAATCCTTTTACCTATGGCTGTCCCCTGAGAAATACGAAGTTACAAACATAGGATTGATGAAAAGACAAGAAACATGAATTTATGTTTAGATTCTACAGTATCTACAAGACCATAAGCATCCAAGTACAGAAGAATGCTACTTTACCATTTTATGGCAACCTTCCTCAAACATCTCAAGAAATCCAGCGACCCAGCGATCAGCATTTTCGACCCACATATTGCGATGCATGCCAGCTGTTTTTGCAACTGTTTGAATCTGCAACATGAAGCTTCAAACATGACATCTCGCAATGCATAATGCATGAAAATTGATAATTAAAGAATCAGAGTCAATAGATTCAATACAAGATCAAAGGAGCCGAAGTAGTAGATCTAGATATACAAGACCAGTACGCCACATGATGGCTTTTCTTCACTAACTTGTGAACCCAATATTATATTATCAATAATAACAAGAGGACTTTGAGCTGCTGAAATAAATCAAAAGTAAGTATGATGACCTTATTCAAATGTCCTGCACGTCTAAAGATATCTTAAAAATTGTAACCACTAACCAAAAGAAAGGCTACAGTGAAGCTTCTTATAATGAGCATCATCGAGAAAGATCATATAAAATATCTTCTTATAGACTTTAAAACAGTTAAAACAAGAGAAGCTCTTTACACTTATTGAAGATGCAAAAATTTAAAAGAAATAAAGCCATCAATGACATGTAGCACTCCATGAAAACATTTGGTGTTGATCAAGGCCTTGGATCAAACTCCAAGATTTTCCTTGAAAATATGAGCACAATGATGCGTGTTGCTAATACAACTACACATTCAGTGTAACTCTACAAATGACATGCTTCAAGATGCTAAGAAACAAATTTGAATACAAAATTCGAATACGATGCGATACGTGTACGTCGAAATAGCTATTTAACGGAACTTGAGAAACTCGAATAAGTGTGTACATACATATAATATATGTGTAATATTTTTCATAAGTTAATTCGACATAATTTCGTTAAACATTAAAACAAAAGCCTAACATTAAAAATAAAATAAAATCCTAAAACATATATAATCTTAATCCTTAGTTGCCCAACTTCATTTCCTTCAACATCACCACCATTAGTTTCTTCATTATTATTGAAAATAACATTCTCCAATTCTGATTTATCTAATGATAGATTAACAATCTCAAGCAGCTCACAACCTTCAAGAGTATCGAATGCATCTCCGATAAACATTTTTTGTTCTCCTTTTGCATAAAAATTAATTTTTTAATAAAAGGTGCAGCTTGCTATAGATGAAAATCAATTCTTCAACTCATTGTGGAGTTATTTTATTTCTTCTCATAAAGTACACAAAAGAGTAGGCACTCCTTGTTAATTAATAAATATTCTATTTTTAATAAATTATTGAGAATAACAATAATTATCTATTAAGTAAAAAATTTGTCATCTATTGCCAATAATAATATAATGAGCTTTAAAAGAATTTAAAATCAATAAAATTCCTCTTCACGTGTCCTAAGATGTTCGAAACGTATCAAAAATTTTAAAAATATAAAAAACATGTATCCGGTACCTAGCACAGTGTGCCAAAATGCATCCAAACTTGGATACGTATCTATTATGAGTAAACAATAAGTTTGAAAGTATTCGTGATTCTTAGTCAAGATGATAAGCTTAAATAATAGTGGGGAGCAACCACACAGAGAACATATAGCTTGAAGATAAGAGCACAATGATGAAGGCTGCTGATACAACTACACACTCAGTGAAAGTCTACAGACAACATGCCTCAGGATGATAAGCTCAAATAATAGTGGAGAGCAACCAAAAATAGAACATATAACTTCATAGGCAATGTTTACTTTATTTTCTTTTCTTATTCTCTAGGGTCGGTGGGGGCAAAGAGGATCGTTGGATTCGCAGTGTGAAACTAAAAATTTATAATAATAAGCATGTCCAAATGAAACTTAGCCCCCATTTGGTCCCCCATTACTTGAGATTTTAATTTTTAGAATAATATTTTTTAGAGAATGTGTGGTTGAAAAAGAAGGAAAAGTTTGCTGTTTAAGTGTAATAATTTTATTGAAAAATGTGTTGTTGAAAAGAAGAGAGAAAAATGTACTAATATTTTAATGGGGGCCAAACGGGGGCTTAATTGTTCATTACATTTAACCACATGCGATGAACCTTCTACGGTTCTACCAACCATAAGCTCTTCCAATAGTAAAATTGCAATCAACTTTTGTCTTATACGCACTATTAATAATTCAAATGAAGAACATCTAAGAGAGTTTTAGCTTCAGAAGTAGACCTTATTATCTATCAAATCCAACAGCCACCATGTCTATGTATCCAAATTTATTTCCTCCAAAAACTTTTAGCAGGGACGAAATAAGAAATAAAAGCTCTATTTTGAATATAAAGAATAATAAGGCATATAATCAGTAACACTTCAATTTCAGAAGCATAATAATTTATTTATTTTCCCATCGACATCAGAAAATATTAATGGAAATGTAAAGATTTATACTGATGGAGTTGCTAGGACTATCCTATGGACTTGTCCAACTCTCGTTTGTATTTCTCCTTCTAATATATAGCAATATTTCACGAGGAGTGGCTGGACACACGAACTTGTCCCAGCCTCATTTAGATTTCTAAAATCCTCCAATATATAACAATTTTTTTCACAGGGAGCAAGGAACACAAACATAAGGACCCAGGAAGACTTTTTCCTAAACTCACAAGTATAGCCATATATCCTTTGATCACAAACTCATACTTGATCCAATTGCATTTTATTGGAATTGAGAAACTAACTTGTTTTGCTTCCAAAGTAACTCACACCAACTAGCACCACCTAATAGGATGTGTACAAATTGTCATTGAAGAAATTTCAAGAGAAACAAAAGACACAGATGATTCAATTAAATAGAATACATTTTACCTTGTTTTGAGAGATTACCAATATTTACTTGGACACTACAGTGGAAGTGTGTTCAATCAAGAGAAGATAGTAAACGTCTTTATTATGAATGCTTATTCTCTTTCCACTTATGAAAGGTGAAGACAACATAATAGGCATTGTGGATGAAGAGCTTTAATTGGAGAAATAAAGCATATCAAACATGTAATATCTGAGATGTCTGTTGTCATAACTTCCTAGTTCTTATTCATAGTGCAATTTAACTTTCATTGGAGAGATGACAGTAGAGAACAAAGAAAAATGACAATTCATATGACATGGTTAAGGCATCACTAATGTTACTATATAGTAGTATATCATAAAAGGTGACATTAGAAACATAAAAAGATCCCATTCCAAATCAACAGAAAGAACCACAATCTTCTAAAATTGGAAACTGATCAGTTCGGAAATAATTATGACTAACCTCAATCCTAGGAACAATGAGATACTTCTCTTACATTAATTAATTTCAGCTTCATCACTTTTTTTTACCAAGAATTAATATATATGATGATATAGTTTCATATTACTAATTGAATCCAAATTTGACCTCTTACATTCAAATCACCTCTCTCCCTCCCTCCACGAGGGTGTACATGTTAGTATGCGTGCCTATGCGTGTGCGTGTGAAACTCGACCACGTTCACCTATGATGCTCGTACTCGGGTACAGGTATCGGATACGAGTACGTATCTAAGTGTCGGATATTTTATTTTGTAAAATGTAGGATACGGGAACATGACTAAAAATAGTCCAAATATCGAAGGGTACGTGAGTACGTCTTTCAAACTTCAAAAAAACCTAAAATAAAGTAAATTTTTGTATATTGTTTGAATGTATTCACAAGTAATTTTTTAAAAAATTGAGCTCTTTTTAATTTAATTGGCTAGAATTGGAAAAGAGACAGCCGCTAGTCTTAAGGAATAAACTGGAGAAGAAATAGTAATCCAAGAAACTCTTTTTTCTTAACCCAGCTAGTTGGGCTGTTGGAGAAATGGGCCAAGAAATAGTAAGCCAAAGAAACTCTTTTATTAAACCAGTTAGGCAGGCTCTTTCTAGAAATCATCCCAGTGCCTTTTAACTCTGTGTTACCCTACATCCATTCCCACCGCCGTCTCAGTTTCACAATCACGGAATCACCTCCTATCTCTGCCATCCACGCGATGGCTCTTTTGCTTTGTTATTGCTTCCCGAATACTCACAGATAAGCTCTCAAAATTTTTTGTGCTGCTGATGAAGATGAATCTTGGCTGTGAATTTTGTCGAATGTTTTCTCCATTACTGCCGCCGCCTTTCACCACCATGTCGTATCCGGTTGCAAAGTGGCATGTCCACCCCATATCTCATACCCGTACCTGTACCCGTGTCGTGTCGACACGGATACTCCAGCCGGATTGAAGAGTCTGAGCATCACAAACGTTCACTAATACAAGATTGAGACCACCACCAACAGAATCCTCCACTACTAAGCTAATCTCTAAAACTACACGGTGAAACCATCAATATTTCCAAGCCACATCCAAACCCCCATCCCCCACAAGAAAGAAAACAAAGATTTGAAGAGTTATCACAAAATCAGAAGTTGATTTCTTATTGGAATTGAAGACTAATAATAAGCTTAGTTAGCCTCGAAAGTAACTGGCTTCTCCAAATCTTAGTTGTACTCAAGTTGTCATGTGGACGCATAAGGCTATAAACATAAGATACTTCCAGAAGAATTAGGTCTGAAAAGTGATGTGAAGGACTCGACTTACAACAATTTCTGGTTGTCTTTTAGTATCAACGAGGACACGGACCCTACCTTAAAATGTAACATCGGGGACGATCATTATTATAGTTCTTGAAGCTTGGAGATACTTTAGACTTCATAATTTTAGTTTGGGCATTTATAGGAGGTGATACTATACACACCAACCTCAATGCATACACGCTTGCTACTTTCTGTTCAGATCCCTCACATCCAACAATCCCCTCCCAACCCCCAACAAAATAATAAAAGAAAGGAAACATAAAAAGAGAACAAAAACTTGAAGTCTGGTTGTCTTCAATAGTCGAAGGGGAAGAGCAATCCTATTTTTGAATGTATCATCAGGGATGATTGTGACTATGGATCTTGAGATATGGTGATGCATTACGAGTTCGATTTATAGTTGTTAATGTTATTGTAGCTTTTGGCTTTTATAGGTGGTGCAGCTACTCATGTACTTGAAGTTGGTTTGCCAGGTGGTGATTGTTATAACAGTTGTAAATCTGAAGGTTGGTTTGACTATAGTAGTTTTAGAGGTTGAATAGGTGGTGGTAAATTTTAACCGACTTTAGGAGGGGCTTGGTGGTCGTGGTGGAGATAATGGTCCTACTAAAGTTATGAACTTCATTTGATTTAGTATTTTTCATTGCATTCTTTTCATCTCTTAATTTTCCTTTTCGGGTGATAAGAATAGTTTATTCACTTTGTAAGGGCAAAAAGCAAACAAGCTTAAAGTCTATGCAACCTAAAAGCTTGCTTAACTCAAGAAACTATCATCTGAAAAGTACTGGCAAGAGGGTAAAAAGAGAAAACATTCCTCAAAAAGAAACTTTACCGTCTCCCCCACTTTTTCTTGATGCTCTTTGACTTTCTCCTGTAGCTTCTTCAGTCTCATATTCACCCTTAGTCGCTTTTCCTGCCCCATCAAAGAAATGTCAAATATTCAGCTGCCCTAGTGAAAACAAGTACCACACAAGGTTTCTCTTAACTAAACCCAGTCAACAAATGAGTTAACAAAATCTCCAGAAAATCGACCAGCAGTACGAGAATATCTTGAAAATATTATACCTTCACAAAGCTAACATTAAGCTCCTTTCTTGAATATCCACGATCTAGATTACGCATTACATATTGGTTATAATCTTTCACAATCCTCATTATGATGTCTGATGTTGAAATTCCTTCAGTCCGTTTTGTCTCTTTAAATCTCCCAACAGCTTTGACCTACATAAAAATTATGTAACTTATTGTATCCAGATGTCAAAACAATTAATAAGGCACCGTTTGGTAACCATTCTTTTTTTCATTCTCATTCTTCTACTAATTTTCAACCACACATTCATCAATAAAATAATATTTTCCATCACATCAATACCTTTTCCTTCATTTTCAACCACAAAAAAGGTGTGATTTGACACAAAGAATACATTTTTTCTAGAATAATGGTTACCAAACGGTGCCTAAATATAAAAAATTGTGGATCTTATTATGCATAGTAAATTTGAACAAGCAAATGATTACAACAGAAGTACAAAGTAATAATTGCATGCTTACAAATTCATAAACATCCTTTCCAGCCCCACTAGTATCGGCATAACTGTACAATAGCCATGTCAAGAATATAATAATTCCTTAAGAACAATGCTTGATTCTTAACAATGTACAATATAAATTCCAGATCAAAGGTCCAAAAAAATGAAAAGGGAAAAAAAAAATATGGAAAAAAGAGAGAGAGAGGTTCCATCCATAGCCTACACTCTACAGTGACCAATCTCATTTAAAATAGAAGTAAAAGGCCCATTATAAATGTTAACCAAACAGATACCGATAAAGAATGGAGAAAAGGTTTAGGATACTCCTTGTGAACTTTTCAGCGCCTTAAAATAACTTAAAATTTTCCATATAAATCCAAATGTCAGTGGTGAAGGGAATGTTTGATAAGAAATCCTTACGGAAGAGAATCGTGAGCAACATAATCAATTTGGTGCTTGTCAAGGAACTCTTGATTTATCACCCACGGTGCATCAGTAATAACCTCGTCAACCCACCTGTGAAAAGAAAAGAAGTGCAATGTTTAATTTACCAAGAAGCCAAATATTCAATAGTTAAATGTGCAAGATGGACAATTATAAAAGCAAATAAACTAAATATGCAGCTAACCACCATCCATATAATAAAATATGCTTAGGCATGCAGTAACATTGCTTCATTTATGTAACCATAAAGCTTGATTGCATTAGCTAGCTCCAATTCTTCAGTTCAAATGGAAGCATCCATATATGAGCAAGAAGACATAAATTGGAGCAAGCCAGGTAGAGAGACGCACTTGCAGTGGCGTAACGATTCATAGCGCTCAGATTCAGTCATAACAGTCTTGCCCTTGAACGTGTGTGTAATCTCATCACTGCAGCATCCCACCAGCAAGTACGTATTGGGAAACCTACATATATACATAGCATAATATACAAGAGTTACTCTTAACTCCACCATTCCTTTAACCATTTAAAAACAAATAATGCAGGCTTTCAAACAAATACGTATTATTGGCGAAAGAAGAAATTATAAACATAGAGAAATCTTATAAAGCATCCGAAGGAGTAAAATTCAACAGGCCACATGCGAATCCAGAGCAGGTCAAATTGAAATTCGTTGTGTAAAACCAAATTCAGAATGGATTTTCAGTTAAGCAAGTAAATTAATCTGAAAATGTCTCAGAATCCATTCAATATCACAAATAACAGCACGTGTACATAATATTCAACTTATGCTAAAAGATTAGTTCAACTTTAATTTGAAATGAATAAAAAACAAGAATCAAACTCAAAGGCAATCGCTGAAAAATTTCACGTAATAATTAAGCACGGTATGAATTAAACGCACAAACTTACGACTTTTTGGCTTGTTCAAGGGAGCGAGCATGACCGAAATGGAAGAGATCGTAGATCCCATCAGCGTATACGCGGACGGGACGATCGGTAGGGGGAGTAGATTCCCCAGACTTCGAATGGTTGTTAACGACGTTGTTTATGTTATCGGCGATCTGCCTCTGTTGCTCTTCTGTTATAACACCGTGCTCCACCATCGTACCGTTGAGTTTCTCTATCACTGTCTCCCTCTCTATGCCTTCTCTTCTCCTCTTCCCAAGAAACGAACAGGAAAACAAATATCCACCCAAGCTACCGACTCAAAGCCTCAAAGGCCCTTTACATAAAATAAAATGACTATAATACCCTTATTATATTTTCGAAACAAATTGAATAACGTTTTATGAGAAAACAAATTTCATAAAAGCCCCTAGTTGTGATTTGCATAGTCGCTTTATCATTTTCGATTTTGTATGATATCTAAAGAGCTGTCCGTGGGTCGGTTCGGTTCGCTTCTGAAGAGACTCGAACCGACCCAAAATTTTTGGGTATTTAATAAATGGACCCGTCGGTCCAAATATAATTATGGAACCGTTCGGGTTCGGTTCCGTTCGGTTCCGTTCCGTTCCGTTCGGTTACATATCATAATTAAATTTTTTAACATTTACAGCAACACTACATAAATACAACTAATGACATTTCATTCGTAACTTTTA